CTCAAGACAAGACTCCCTGAGGATCAGAAAAACAAGGCGTCATCGGAATCCTCCAACAGCCTCTGGGCAGTGGACAGAAGCTGCATTTCTTGGCTTGATCAACAAGAAAAACAATCTGTTATCTATGTTAGTTTTGGGAGCATTACTGTGATGACTAGAGAGCAACTCATAGAAATTTGGTATGGGCTTGTGAATAGCAAAAGGAGGTTCTTGTGGATTGTAAGGCCGGACTCCGTGGTGGGCCATGGTGGGGAAGATATTCCACAGGAACTCATAGAAGGGACCAAGGAGAGAGGGTATTTGGTAGATTGGGCCCCGCAAGAGGAGGTACTGGCCCATTGGGCAATTGGTGGATTCTTGACCCACAGTGGATGGAACTCTACATTGGAGAGTTTGGTTGCAGGGGTTCCAATGATATGTTGGCCTTACTTCGCTGATCAACAGGTGAATAGTAGGTATGTGGGTGAGGTGTGGAAGGTGGGTTTAGACATGAAGGATGTTTGTGATAGAAATGTGGTTGAGAGGATGATAAATGATATAATGGAGGAGAAAAGGGAAGAGTTTGTGAAATCAGCAAGAGAAATGGCAAAGTTGGCCAAAGAATCTGTCGGTGTTGGTGGGTCATCTTACTGTAATTTGGACCGTCTGATTGAGGACATCAGGTTGATGAGCTTGAAAATGAAAGATCGGGATGGCCAGGAACCATGATTCTATACATGGTAGGGCCTAAGAATAATTGGAAAAAAATTGTTAATATAGTGTAGTAGCATCATTTTTCTTATTTTAAGTCTATTTGTCTTGCCTATATATACATGGTCTTTTTATTAATGTTATTGGTTCTCTTAAAAACTGATCAGCGTTTTTGATACTGTATTAAAAAAACTCATGAATTTTTTTTATAGTTATAGGTTAGACAATGAAATATTTTAAAAGAATTTAAAAAGGTTTATGAATTCATTTTTGAGATACAATCATTTAAAGTATGAATTTATTATTTTTAAGTATTTTTTAATTTATGCTTAACAATTTTCATAGAGAGCATTATTTCTCAAACGATATACAAAATTTAAAATTTTTGAGTCTAAAATTGTGTCCATCTTATTAAGATTAGTTGCGTTAGTGTAATTTAA